CTTAGGAAGAAAATATTTCAAGTTCCTACATGGTAATTTAATAAAAACGCATATTGACATTCACCCCACACATTAACTAACTTGCCTATCATTTCACAAATCTTCATTTGAGAGTTTCACCTGCTCATGTAAAGACATTCATGAATCACAATCAAGTAGAGTTTAGGTTAGTTCATTTTTTTTTTCAATCTCAACAACTGAATTGTCTAGTTATTAATTCATCTACTCTCATTACTAGCCAAATATCACCAATAGATTTTAGAATTTGAGTTTAACTCAGACCATTGTAACTTATTGAATATGACTCATGTGTTGTGTTGGTAACTTTTCCAAAATAAAGTAATACTTGTCCTAGTCTCACATGTGGTAGCCCCACAGGACAAAGAGGAAAAATTCCTCTTTTATTTGCATTTAGGCTTCACTTTACACAAAAAAATATATTTTTTTTTTGACAAATAACTTTTCTCCAAATATTTGTTGAAAGTTTGAATGTCAATATTCATACTTTGGAGGCTGGCTCACACTCTGCTAAATTCTATATGAGCATAAAAGTGTTGAGTGATCTTCCTTCAATTCATCATCTAAATCATACAATATTCTTAGCAAGAAAACCAAGTAGCTTGAACTAATTCTATGACAATAATAGAAGTATTTTGAATAAAAAAATAATAATTAAACCTACTTACTACAAACTTATGTTCATGAATATCCAAAATACTATTGACATTGATCTCTTTTTTTAAGATTCATCAATGAAAGCAAGTTTGTGAGTATGGGGATCGAACAATATGACAATCTAATTTATGCTATTTTTATTGTCTTTCTATATTACAACTATAAGATAAATTCAAAAATGTGTGAGTTCATAATATTCTAAGTGTATACTACAGGAACTTAATCTTCTCACCCCCCAACTTAAATTCTGCATTATCCCTAGTGCATTAGAAAAATAAATTTAGAGGAAGAAGGTGCAAACTAAGTAATGTAGTCCCTGTTGTATTTGTTGCTGCTGTGTATGTGTTACACTATTGCCATGGTCATGTACTAAACCCACCTACGTACTCCATCTGAATTAAAAGATAACCACAAAAGAAGATTGAAAAGAAAAAAAGCCACTGAATAAAAAGGTGATTATATTAAATTCTCAAAATTGTAAATTTAATGACTAGGATGTTGTCAATAGGAGATTTGAGATGGACGTAGATCCTACAGTTAAAGAGAGTTGTCCAAAGGGTGTTGCTCATGCTGCATGTATGGTTTAAGTCTTTGCTTGTTCACTTTAAGCTATTGACTTGTCTTAAGATTTGCATTTAAAACTGCTCCACAATCAAATAATTTAATAACAATGAAAGATGTATCCCACCTTGATTTAAGTTTTCTTGAAATAACTTCAAGCGTGACTTGTATAGCCAAACTTTTTTATTTTCAAAAAATTACTTATGATTCAAATGTCTATCATGAAGTTAAATCACAGAATTTTCATAAGCTTCGTTTTGTAATTCTTGTAGATCTTGAATTTGTAGAATCCTATTCTTCCCTACTTTATCTAGAGATAAATTTAGTTTCTTGAGAGTCCAACAAACCCTATGTTCAATTTCAACGGGTAAGTGACAAGCTTTACCAAAAATCAGTTTATATGGAGACATTCCTATAGGGTTTTTATGGGCTGTTCTCTATGCCCATAATGCATCATGAAGTCTATTTATCTAATTTTTATCATCAGGTCTAACGAATTTCTGTAAAAAAAATTAGTTTCTTTACTTGTGACTTCAATTTGACTATTGACTTGTGGGTGATAGGGTGTGATCATCTTATGCTGCACACCATATTTCTTAAGGCATTGAAATGATAGTTATTGAAATGTGATCCACCATCACTAATTATGGCTCTTGGACAACCAAAACGTGAAAAGATATGATGCACAATTGATTGGACTACCTTATGATCATTTGTTCTAGTAGAGATAGCCTCTATCCACTTAGAAACATAATCAACAACCATTAAAATGTATTCATGACCATTAGATGAGGGAAATGGTCCCACAAAATCTATGCCCCACAAATCAAAATTTTCAACTTCAATAATTGGTTGTAATGGCATGGAGTCTTTCTTAGTTATGTTGATTGCAGCTTGACACTTCAAACAAGTTTTACAAGAATCGTATGAATTCTTAAATGTAGTAGGCCAAAAAAACCACATTGTAAATTTTTTGTAGTAGTTCTCTTAGATACAAAATGTCCACCACAAGAAAAAGAATGAAAAAATTTAATATGCTATGTTGTTCATCTTCAAGGACACATTGTCTAAAAATCTGGTCAACTCCTAAATGAAACAATTCAGGTTCTTCCTTGAATTGTGTATATCTAATCGAGATAAGTGGTCAGCTAGACAATTTTCACATCCTCATCTATCTTTAATTTCAACATCAAATTCTTATAATAATAAAACCCACCTAATGAATCAAGGTTTTGCTGCATTCTTACTAAGCAAATATTTAAGGACAAAATGATCAGAATATATGATAATTTTGCTACTTAACAAATAAGATCAAAATTTATCTAATGCAAAAACAATAACTAATAATTCTTTTTCTGTACTAGTGTAATTTACTTGAGCTTTGACCAACGTCTTACTTGCATAATAAATTGCTTTGGATTTCTTGTCAATTCGTTGACCTAGCACTACTCTTACTACAAAATCTGAGGCATCACACATTAGTTCAAAAGGGAGGCTCTAGTTGGGTGGTTGAAAAATTAGAGCCTCTATAAAAATTGCCCTCTTAATCTATAAAAAAGCTTGTTGGCCTGCAGCATTTATTTCAAAATTAACATCTTTAGAAAGTAAGTTAGTAAAAGGTTTAGAAACTTTATCAAAGTCTTTAATAAAACATCTATAAAAATCAGCATGACCCAAAAAAGCTCTCAGTTGTCTAATGGAGTTGGGGAGGGGGAGATTTTGGATCACTTCTATCTTGGCCTTGTCCACCTCTAATCCACATTTGCTAACTAGATGGCCCAGCACCACTCCCTCTTGCACCATGAAATAGGATTTCTCCTAACTTAGCACTAGGTTCTTGTCCATGCACAATTGTGAAACCTTTGCTAAGTCAGCAAGACAGCACTCAAATGATTGACAAAAATTAAAAAACTTCTAAACATTCACCAACTAAGTTTGAAAACATAGTAGGCATGCATCGCTGAAATATAGATGGTGCATTACATAAACCGAAGGGCATTCTCCTAAATGCATGTGCCAAAAAAGATGTAAAAGTGGTCTTTTCTTGATCATCCTGATGTATAGCTAATTTTTACCAACTAATTTTTCCAGAAATAAAAAATATATTTACCAGCTAATTTTTCTAGAATTTGATTAATTAAAGGTAAAGTAAAATGATATTTTTTCATTACAGCATTTAACTTCCTATAATCTATGTAAATTCTTGAACTTGATGGTAATTTAGTTTGAATCTCCTCTCCTTTTTCATTTCTAGTCACCATGATTCCTGTCTTCTTGGGTACTACATGGATAGAGCTTACCCATGGCCTATCTAAAATGGCATATATAATTCCTGCATCCAACCATTTCATAATCTCTCCCTTCACCACTTCTAACATCTTAGGATTCAATCATCTTTGAACTTCTCTAGAGGTTTTGACATTTTCCTCAATAAAAATTCTGTGCATACATGTGTTTGCACTAATGCCCTTAATGTCTACAAGAGACCAACCGATTGCTGCTCTATGCAGCTCAAGAATATTCATTAGCTGTTCTTCTTGTGCTAGTGTTAATGATGAAGAAATGATGACAAGAAAAGTATTATTTTCACCAAGAAAATCATATTTGAGTGGATGGCCATATTTTTAATTCAAGCTGTTGGTCACAATTGTGCATCAAATTATCATGAATTTCAGAATCATTGTGCAGCTCATACGAAACATTTGAAGCTTGTAAAAGATTATAATCAAATAATTTTTCACATGCATCCACAAAGCAATAATCCTTAGTTAATTTTTCAGGATGTTTCAATAGCTTAGAAATATTAATTTCAACCTTTTCTTACCCAAATTTTAACTCTACTATCCTCTTTCCCCAATCTATTATGGCTTTGACTGTTTCTAAGAAGGGTCTACCAAGGATTATAGGAGCATGATTGATATTTTCAGTCATCTTCATATAAATAATAATAAAATCTACTGTAAATAACAGTTTGCAATTTTAACTATGACATCTTCCAATAGTTTATATGACTATCTACTTGACCCATCAGCTAGCTGCAGTTCTAAGAAAATAGGTTGTAACTCACCCATTTTGAATTTATCATATATAATTTTGAAAATAATATTGACACTTGCACCTGAATCAAACAATGAACAGGTGAAATCATACCTCCTATTTCGCATTTAATCAAGGGTGCTCCTAGATCCCTACACTTTTTAAGAATGTGATTAAGTAATATGGAATTAATATTTTCAGATAATTAAATCTATTTTTGTTTTCTACTAGGTGTACATAATCCTTTTAAAAATTTAACATAGTATGGTATGTGTTCTATGGCATCAACTAATGGAATATTTATTATAACTTGTTTGAACAGTTCTAGCAAATGATAATCAGATTGGTTGAGTTTTTTTTTGATATTTTCAGAGCATTAAGGAACAAGCAATTTATATCCCTCGGGATTAGGTTCATCCTTTGCTAGCTCTTCTACTTTTTCTTGAGTTTTATCTATGTTGGATTTTTCTTTCAACTTCTATTTCTTCACTTAGTTCATATGGATCAGGCAAATTCTTTACATTCCTAAGTCTTTAAATAATGTGCAGTGTTTCTAACTCAAGTTCTTTACTCTTTACTTCATGAATATAATGTTTATTTGTAGAAAAATATAAATTTGGAGGATTTAAAATAGGTTGAGTAAGAAATTGACCTACTTCATGGTCACCTAACCCTACTTTAATCATTTTATGTTTTTATCTATCGTGTGTGGTGTAGCCTTGTTGTGACTACCCTCCCACCATCATCTTCATTTTTTCCATTTCTATCCTCAGCTCTTGCATTTGCTCCTTTTGCTCCTGCAACATCTGCTTCAACAATTCATTAGTAGCCAAGGTGGCTTTGTTTTGAGCAGGATGAGTTGGTTGAGTGGACTGAAAATTTTGTGGACGTAGGATTGGCTGGAAGGGACCTTGCTGTTAGAAATTTGGGAAATGATGGTTGATAGGTGTTATCATTTCCTCTTTTATAATTTTAGTTGTTGTATTTGTTATATTGTGTTCTGTATACAGGAGGTTGAGATGTCCTTTCTGGCCATGAGTGTCTAGCAATAAGTTGAGGGGGCCTGACTCTATCATTCATTGCCATCAACCCTTCATTCTAGGACACTCTATTTCTACATGTTCATAACTAGAACAAAGGGTACATGCAGTCATATCTGGGCCATGCATGGACTGTTCAAAAGCTTGAGCAGGAGCTGTTGATGACTTGTCCATCAAAAATTTTACATCTTTCATCACTTTATCAATTTTTTCTAAAAATATTTCGGATTCAACAGCTTTTGTTTCAATCATTCCACCTCTTCTAGGCCTTATTTGCCTTCCGTTTTGATTTAATACTATATGATGAGTACTATTTTCAGCCAACATTTCAATTAAATCTAGGGCTTCATCATCAAATTTATTCATAAATGTCCCACCACTAGCAGCATCAATCATGTGTCTATCTTTATCTCCTAATCCTTCATAAAATATTTGAACTAGCTGCCAATTTGAATCCCATGGTGAGAACATTGTCTACTATATTCTTTCATTTCTCCCAAGTCTCATAAAATGATTCCTATGATCCTTGATTAAAATATCTAACTGACTTCCTTACAATATTAATTCTCCCTACAGAATAAAATTTCTTTAAGAAGGTGGTCTCCATTTCACCCCATGAATTTAAGTCTTGTGCTAGGGTTCTGAGCCACTCTTTTGCTTTGTCTTTTAGGGTAAAAAGAAATAATCTCATTTTTAGCACTTCTAGTGGGACATTGGGATAATAAGAAATCTCACATACTTGAAAAAAAATCTTCTAAATGCTTGTATGATTCCTCATGACTCATTCCATGAAACTTTAGTAGCATTTGCACAATATGATGATCTACTCTAAAATTCACTCCCTCACCTATATTGGTCGGTATTGGAGAGGGACAAAATGGTCTTTCAGCCTCATTGTCTCATTGTTTGGGTTTTGTTGGGCCATTTGATTTTCTTATAGTATGGGGTTTTCAAAAGTGTATGAGCTAGATGTGTTGGTCTGATCTTGTTTAGGGATCGCTAATGGTTGTTTTAGGGATATGTGACCTTGCATAGAATATGGCTCAGTGAGTATTGATAAAGAAAAAAGAAAGAAATACAGGAAATTAAAATAGTGAATAAAGTAAGTATACCAAACACTTTCACCTTGACTACTTCAAATTTAAAAATACAAATTCAGTCTATATATAAAAAAATCAATTCAAAATATTTAAAGAAATACAATGAACATTGTAAACTTCTATTTCAATAAAGATTTATATAACTATCTCAATGATAGATTATGAAAAATTTTGAAAACAGACCTATTAATGATTGGATATTCTATAAATTTGTTCTTTAAAATAAATAATAATGGGAATTTAACTCAATTAAAAAGCTACTCACGTCTAATGGCACTCATTCCCTAGCAACGGTGTCAGTTGATAAAACGAAATCAAGGGTCATTGAAAGCCCCAAAATTAGTTGATCAAAAATATTTATAATCACAAATGTATCAAATAAAAATACTAAAATAGGTAAATATTGTGGTAAGCTCGAGGTCGATCGACAAGGAATGAGAATTAGATGTACTTAGTTACTATTTAAATCAAACGAGTTCAAAAGAGAGGTGATGACAAATAAGAAGAATTTTCACTGTCAAAAAAGGGGGAAACAATGGTTCAGCGATGTAGATGACAACTAAAAATGGGGAAAACACTCACAAACGATTTGTGAGACAAAGTTAACACTATATTTCTATATATTCAAAACTACAGAAGCTAGATTGTTGTTCACACTCAAAACATATCGGACTTGGAGAACTTACCTCAGGCCTCTATATTTCACAAAGGCTAGATAGTTTCCACTTTGAGTATGCTTCCCTAATGATCTTAGCTACAAAACAAAGCTTAAATCAACTCGAACACATCAAGATTGATGTAAAAACCTCAATATGGTTTCATTTAACCGACTAAATGTCGGGACATTCAAAGTTCATTCTTTTGCCTCTAAATAGCAGCTTAAATGCGTAAGGGTTTACATGAGAGGATGGGAATACATTTGTAGAACTGTGATTAAATGAGGGCATTTCTATCTTTTTGGCTACGAAAATATTAGGCAAGAGTCTAATCGCTCAATAAGTATGATCTTCTTAAATGTTGAGATCCATTGATGATTGTGTGGACGTTCTTAACAACTTCTGATCTCCTCATTTGATGATGTCATGTGTTAGTGCCTCAACTTGATTCTGTTGCCTAATCTCCACAAATTAAATCTCATCAAATGAAGCAAAATAAGGGGTGTGACGTGACTCAATCGTTGTACAATAAATCACGCAAATATAAAATTTATAAAATTAGAAAATACAAATATTCGGATATTTAGAAGTATTTCTAAATAAATATATCAATTATAATTCAATAAAAATTCCAAAAATAACGATAATTTTCTAGGTCGATCACAGGGATGTAATATAATATCTGGTAATTATTCAGAATTTTTCTCAATGAATACGATTTTCTTACAAATTTTATACTAGGAAATAAAAAGAAAATATATTTAAAATTCACAAAAAAAAGGAAATAAGGGTGCAGACGTCAGGATGATGTCAGCTCCTAGCAAACAGAGGAAACAGAGTTCCGCCCGGCGATTCTTACGTAAGCGATTACAGACGACTTAATTAATCAAAATTAAGATCTGTAAAAGCCAGAAGAATCATAATTGAACGAAATATAGTTTCGTAAATTAAAATCACACAAAGTAGGAAAACAAAGTTCCGGCGTCGCGACAGCGATGCGTCGGCGATGCACCGAAATCGTGAGCATTCGGGAGGATCGTCGTGCAATGCCCACAGCCTCGAAGGCTCTCCTTGGACAAAGACAACGTGGGCAATCTCTAGATCTTCTCGTAAAGTCTAAAGATCAATGAAGTGAGTCGTCAAATCGTCTCCGGTGGCTGTCACCCGGCGGAGTGGAAAAATGGCGACTTTGCGGCTCTCCGGCGGCTGTCACCTGACGGAGAGGCGCTGGATGGAGGTGGGGCGCGTGTTAAGGAGCTTCATCCTTAGGTCCGCACAGCAAGAGGAGGCTCTTCATCGCATCTGGTACGCTCTCTGGAAGTGGCGACTGGTCTCCCGGCGGATCGTCCTCTTCCCGACGACGGCTTATTCGTCAATCAATCGGAGATGATTTACTCAATGGATTCGCGATCCTTTTATCGTGAATCGTTCAGCAATTTTAGTAGCAATGCTCCGCGAATTGCGTTGACGAGATTTTCGCCGATGATCCAATGATTCTCGTTTCTTAATCCTTCCCCAGCCATCTGCAAGAAAATCGCGATAATCAAATAAAAATATATGAATTTTGACTCTGGAAGGATTCGAACCCGCGCCAGTCGCCCGCCTCTTTTGAGGAAGGTGTGACGGGGGTTAGTCCCTTCTCTCGCGTGTATGACCACTCCTTGCCCCACAGCCGGCTGGCCACCGGTGATGTGGAAGGGGAGTGGCGTACGTGTGCCAGTCGGTCCCCAAGCCAAGCCGCTTGAGCCCCTGCTCGCGGCTACTCCCCGACTGCGCTTCCGACCTGCTTGCGAGCACGGCTGGCCGGCGGGTCCCCCCATTTTTGCAATATTTTTATTTTTATTTCTTGTTCTTGATTTGTCTCAAAAGTAAGACTGTAAAAATCGTATAAAATCACATAATTAACCAAAAATTCACGTTAATCAATTGAAAACAAAAAATCATTCTTTAACACAAATATAAGTCTATTTATCATGAGTTAAGGCTAAAACTATATTATTTACTAATTATTAACTCATGATAATGAAGACTTATCACACCCCCCAACTTAAATCATTGCTAGTCCCTTAGCAATGGAATTACGAAAATAAAATTTTACAAATCTCAAACATCATATTTCAATACAAAAAAAAATATAATTAGAAATGATGCACCGTTAAACACTTTGGATTCTAATCAAATATTTAAGAACGATGCCAAGCACTTAAATGTTTAAGCACTCCTTGGAATAACAATCTAGACTTCACTTCTTCTATTCACATCTTTATCACTTCTTCACTCATAGATGTATTTACAAGATGTTCCAATTATCAATACTCATCCAAGAATAATATTGATCTTACATTTCCCTTTTTCTATAACTTGATTTTTCAAGTTTGCACTATATTTCTTCCTTCTTTTTTTTTTTTTTTATAAATAGTGGATAAGTAGCTTTTCCTGTAGAAAATTTTTGACAATAAGAATGATATCTCACACCCTCCATGTGTACTCTTCATTTTCAGGGCTTTCACTTTATCCACTTATTTTTCAGCAAGTGTTTTTCTATGCACGATTTTCAACAATAAGAATGATGTCTCACACCCTCCATGTGTACTCTTCGTTTCTAGATTTTTCACATTGCTCTCTCTTTTTTTTTTTTCGAAATAAGTGATTTCTCCTCACAAGTCCTATAGATCAGGGTGCAAAAATCTCCATTAAACTCAAATGATCAATCAAATTTTCACATCAAGTAAATACTATCCATCAAGATCATGAAGTGAAAATCTGTAAAATCAAATCCATGTTATCTATCATGTATCCAAGGAGTATTTCAACATTTTATGCTACTAGATCATTCCTTTGACTCAATAATAATCTTCCTAGTATCTTTTGGTATCAATCAATCTAATTGATTTAATTTTTCATGCATGTAATATGATGTAAGGAATTTGTAAATTAGATAGTTCTGACAATTCTGTTTTCTGTTTTCAATTCTATTTTTAGCAGCAATAAATTTGTCAAAAATAAATCAAAACTATCTTCTTTATAGCTGTAATTTAGAATTTCAGTAATATATATCTAGGGGATTGAAATGTGAGAAAAGGGTCTTCCAGAATTTCAAATTTCGGGCTGTTTTTTGTCTGCTGTTTTTGACAGTTTGTTGTTTCTGACAGAAAACCAGAAAATAGATGTTGTAATTTTTCCGAATTTTATTTTATTTTTATTTTTTTAGTTGCTGTTCTAAGTTGAATAAAATGCAAACACATGTTCTTAATCGTCCTACAACATAAATTAATAATGAATACTTCACCCCCCAACTTAAAAATGACATTGTCCTCAATGACACAGAAAACTCGAAATAGAATATGCAGAAAATATAATTTTCAAGTGAAGCATGCATATCTGCAAAGTTAAGCATTAAAAATATTTTCATAAATGATGAAGCTCTAAAAGACATCACTTCAACCTTGTTTTTAATTTTCCACTTCATCTTACACTCTTGCTGCACTTTTTCGAAAGAAAAACAAATACAGAAACAAGTACTGCGAAATTCTTAGAAAAACAAAGCTTAAAAAAAATCAAACAGGATGAAATAAAAACCATGGGTTGCCTCCCATGCAGTGCTGAATTTAATGTCTCCGGCTGGACAGCTCTTATATCATATAAGATGATCTATGGCCATCAAAATATATTTGTATCCCAAGGTAAGTTTCATGATATTCTTTTTCAGATTTAGCATAAATTCATATGCTTCATATATATACCTTGACATACTTTCAGCCAAAATAAAATAGAAATTAACAATCTTTTCCCAAAAATAATATTTCCATTTTGAAAAGAATCTTTCCTTATTTCTATCTTGTTTTGTTAGGCTTTCATTCATTAATAAATACCTTATATCAATAAACCATAAAATGTGATCAAGCCATATAATTTTCAGATTAGCTCTTGCCCAATCTAAAATTTTTTCATCTAAATTGGTATCTCTAATTCTTCCACTCACCCATTTCTTAATGTCTTTTTTTATCTGCATAATCTTCCCCTGCTCCATTTTATCATCCATACATATTTGTTCAATTTGCGAGGAGTGAAATATTTCAAGCTTAGAAATAATTCTAATGGGCTGTGGGTTTTGAAGGATGGAAGGATTGTCTTCTTTAATCTCAAATCTAATGAATTCAGTAAAATTCAAATTTTCTCCTCCAAAATTATCTCTATATTCATATCTATTATTTTCGCTTGTTCCCATTAATTGAATCAATTCTTTTTCTAGCTTTTTGTTTCTCAACTCATCAAATTCTTCATCTTCCCAAGAGCTATCTTTTAATTTTGGTATATGATATACATCATCATCCTCACAATCAACATCCATGGCTGCAAAATTATGATTAGATTCATTAATTTCGTCTCCTACATCTCCCAAATCAATTGATTTTTCCTCACCTGAAATATATTTTTCTTCATTTCTGTCCTTACTCCCTTCTACTAAAATTTGGATGATTTTTCTATGATCAGTTGTTGTTTCTTCATCTAAGGGTTCTTTCTCCTCATCATCCTCACTATATTCATTCATCAATTGTGAGCAATAAATGATTTTATTCAAATTTTCTGCTACTATATTTTTGGCCTTAATATTCTCATTTACTTCTAATGGATCATCAATTTCTTCTAATAATTGGAAATAAGGATCAGGTAAAATATTCTCACTCAATATATTCACTGTCCTAACATTTTCATTTCGTGGGTTTTTTTCTAAATTTATCCAGCTAGACTCTTCTTGCTGAAATCTTACTGTTGGACAGTTTTCTGAATTTTCTATGGGCTGACGAGGTAGCTGTCCCTCTTCTCTCTTATTCTCAAGAGCCTCTATAATTTGTTTCTGATGAAGCATCATTTGATTCATAGTTTGTTGCATCATTTGGCTCATTTGCTGCATCATTTCCATAGCATCAGGTTGGGTTTGAGAGGGCTGATTTTTCTGAAATCTATTTTCTTGTTTTGGACGAAATTCAGAGTTTGAATTGGGTCTAAGTGCTTCTGGATTTTGAATATTATTTGGGTCTCTCCATGAAAAATTATTCCTCCAATTAGGATTATAAGAATTTGAAAAATGTTCCCTATTTCTATTAAAACCGTGAGCTACTTGCACTTGTTCTTGCATAGGGTGAAATGATTGATCTAAATTATAACATTGAAATTCAGAATAATCATTTTCACCATACATAGGACATGTACTATTCGAATTAAGTTGAGGGTTAAAAGGCTTTCTAATATTATCAATAAGTAAATCATTTTTTTCTAATCTTTAATTTATCTGATTAACCTCATTTCTAAGTTTAGAATCATCATCATGATGCAATTCATAAATTTCTCTCTTCTTATCCGTCATATAATTCAAAAGAGGCTTGATCTCTAGAATTTTCACTTAAATTCTCATAAAGATTGTAAATCTCATCAGGAGTTTTCTCCATAAAAGCTCCTCCACATATAGAATCAACCATATTTCTATGTTCTTCTAATAATTTATCATAAAAAATTCTATTGAGCTTCCACTGGGGTATAGCATGATGAGGACACTTTCTAAGTAAATCTTTGAATTTTTCTCATGTCTGATGCAAAGTTTCTCCTGGTCTTTGAGAAAAACTCCATATATGTTTTCTCATATTTTGAGTTTTTCCTAAGGGATAAAATTTTCGAAGAAAGGCCTGTTCTATATCTTTCCAGCTAGTTAATTCTCTATCTAATGTGGATAGCCAATGACTAGCTTTGTCCCTAAGTGTATGAGAGAATAATTTCATCTTAATAATTTCCGGTGTAACTTGAGGGAGATTAACTAAATCACAGACCATATGAAATTTTTCTAAGTGCTGATGAGGTTCCTCTAAAGGCAATCCATGAAAATTAGGGAGCATTTAAAAAATTCATGGATTTATTTCGAATTTAACAATGGGTGCTAATGGGACTTGACGTGACTCAGTCGTTGTATGTTAAATCACGCAAATATAAAATTTATAAAACTAGAAAATACGAATTTTCGGATATTTAGAAGTATTTCTAAATAAATATATCAATTATAATTCAATAAAAATTCCAAAAATAGCGGTAATTTTCCAGGTCGATAACAGGGATGTAATATAATATCTGGTAATTATTCAGAATTTTTCTCAATGAGTACGATTTTCTTACGAATTTTATACTAGGAAATAAAAAGGAAATATATTTAAAATTCACGAAAAAAAAGGAAATAAGGGTGCGGACGTCAGGATGACATCAGCACCCGGCGAACGCGAATCGGGCAGAAATAGAGTTCCGCCCAGCGATTCTTACGTAAGCGATTACAGACGATTTAATTAATCAAATTAAGATCTGTAAAACCAGAAGAATCGTAATTGAACGAAGTATAGTTTGGTAAATTAAAATCACACAAAGTATCACTAAATGAAGTGTAAATTAAATTGAAAGCAGGAAAATAGAGTTCCGGCGTCGTGACGGCAATGCATCGGCAATGCACCGGAATCCTGAGCGTTCGGGAGGATCGTTGTGTAGTGTCCACTACCTCGAAGGCTCTCCTTGGACAAAGACGACGTGGGCAATCTCTAGATCTTCTCGCGAAGTCTAGAGATTAATGAAATGGGTCGTCGAGTCGTCTCCGGCGGCTGTCACCTGGCAAAGTGGAAAAACGGCGACTTTGCGGCTCTCCGGCGGCTATCACCCGACGGAGAGGAGCTGGATGGAGGTGGGGCGCATGTCAGGCAGCTTCATCCTCAGGTCTGCGCAGCAAAAGGAGGCTCTTCATCGCATCTAGTACGCTCTCAAGAGGTGGCGACTCGTCTCCTGGCGGATTGTCCTCTTCTTGACGATGGCTTGTTCGTCGATCAATCGGAGATGATTTACTCGATGGATTCGCGATCCTTTTATCGTGAATCGTTCAGCAATTTTAGTAGCAATGCTCCACGAATCGCGTTGATGAGATTTTCGCCGATGATCTAGCAATTCTCGTTGCTTAATCCTTTACCGGCGATCTGTAGGAAAGTCGCGATAATCAGATAAAAATATATGAATTTTGACTCTGGGAGGATTCAAACCCGCACCGGTCGCCCGCCTTTGAGGAAGGTGTGACGCGGGTTTAGTCCCACATCAGTTGTGCACCGATTTTTCGAGCGAATATATAGTAATGTTAGCTTTGTAAGCAAAGTCCCTTCTCTCGCGTGTACGACCACTTCTTGCCCCACAACTAGCTGGCCACTAGTGATGTGGAAGGGGATTGGCGCACACATGTGCCCCTATCGGTCCAAGCCGTTCGAGCCCCTGCTCGCGGCTACTCCCCGACTGAGCTTCCAACCCGCTTGCGGGCCCGGCTGGCTGGCGGGTCCCCCATTTTGCAATATTTTTATTTTTATTTCTTGTTCTTTATTTATCTCAAAAGTAATACTGTAAAAATCGTATAAAATCACATAATTACCCAAAAATTCACGTTAATCAACTGAAAAGCACTTTTCACACTTTAACATAAATATAAGTCTATTTATCATGAGTTAAGGCTTAAACTATAAGATTTACTAATTATTAACTCATGATAATGAAGACTTATCACACCCCCGAACTTAAATCATTGCTAGTCCCTTAGCAATGGAATTACGAAAATAAAAATTAACAAATCTCAAACATCATATTTCAATACAGAAAGAAAAAAATACAATTAGAAATGATGCACCTTTAGACACTTTGGATTCTTATATCAAGTATTTAAGAATGATGTCAAGCACTTAAATGTTTAAGCACTCTTTGGAATAACAATCTAGACTTCACTTCTTCTATTCACATCTTTATCACTTCTTCACTCATAGATGTATTTACAAGATGTTCCAATTATCAATACTCATCCAAGAATAATATTGATCTTACATTTCCCTTTTTCTATGACTTAATTTTTGAAGTTTGCACTATATTTCTTCCTTCTTTTTTTTTTTTTATAAATAGTGGATAAGTAGCTTTTCCTGTAGACAAATTTCGACAATAAGAATGATGTCTCACACCCTCCATGTGTACTCTTCATTTTCAGGGCTTTCACTTTATCCACTTATTTTTCAGCAAGTGTTTTTCTATGCACGATTTTCGACAATGAGAATGATGTCTTACACCCTCCATGTGTACTCTTCGTTTCTAGATTTTTCACATTGCTCTCTTTTTTTTTTTTTTTGAAATAAGTGATTTCTCCTCACAAGTCCTATAGATCAGGGTGCAAAAATCTCCATTAAACTCAAATGATCAATCAAATTTTCACATCAAGTAAATATTATCCATCAAGATCATGAAGTGAAAATCTGTAAAATCAAATCCATGTTATCTATCATGTATCCGAGGAGTATTCCAACATTTCATGCTACTAGATCATTCTTTTGACTCAATAATAATCTTCCTAGTATCTTTTGGTATCAATCAATCTAATTGATTTAATTTTTCATGCATGCAATATGATGTAAGGAATTTGTAAATTAGATAGTTCTGACAGTTCTGTTTTCTGTTTTCAGTTCTATTTTAGCAGCAATAAATTTGTCAAAAATAAATCAAAACTATCTTCTTTATAGCTGTAATTTCGAATTTCAGTAATATATGTCTACGGGATTGAAATGTGAGAAAAGGGTCTCTAGAATTTCAAATTTCGGGTTGTTTTTTCATCTGCTGTTTTTGACAGTCTGTTGTTCCTGACAGAAAACCAGAAAATAGATGTTGCAGTTTTTCCGAATTTTATTTTATTTTTATTTTTTTAGTTGCTGTTCTAAGTTGAATAAAATGCAAACACATGTTCTTAATCGTCCTACAGCATAAATTAATAATGAATACTTCACCCCCCAACTTAAAAATGACATTGTCCTCAATGACACAGAAAACTCGAAACAGAATATGCAGAAAATATAATTTTCAAGTGAAGCATGCATATCTGCAAAGTTAAGCATTAAAAATATTTTCATAAATGATGAAGCTCAGAAAGACATCACCTCAACCTCGTTTTTAATTTTCCACTTCATCTTACACTCCTCCTCCTGCACTTTTTCGAAAGAAAAACAAACACAGAAACAAGTACTGCGAAATTCTAAGAAAAATAGAGATCAAACAGAATGAAATAAAAACCATGGGTTGCCTCCCATGCAGCGCTGAATTTAATGTCTCCAGCTGGACAGCTCTTATATCATATAAGCTGATCTATGGCCATCAAAATATATTTGTATCCCAAGGTAAGTTTTATGATATTCTTTTTCAGATTTAGCATAAATTCATATACTTAATATATATACCTTGACATACTTTCAGCCAAAACAAAATGGAAATTAACAAAATTTTCCCAAAAATAATATTTCCATTTTGAAAAGAATCTTTCCTTATTTCTATCTTGTTTTGTTAGGCTCTCATTCATTAATAAATACTTTCTATTAATAAACCATAAAATGTGATCAGGCCGTATAAATTTCAGATTAGCTCTTGCCCAATCTAAAATTTTTTCATCTAAATTGGTATCTCTAATTCTTCCACTCACCCATTTCTTAATGTCTTCTTTTATCTGCATAATCTTCCCCTGCTCCATTTTATCTTCCATACATATTTGTTCAATTTGGGAGGAGTGAAATATTTCAAGCTTAGAAATAATTCTAATGGGCTGTGGGTTTTGAAGGATGGAAGGATTGTCTTCTTTAATCTCAGATCTAATGAATTCAGTAAAATTCAAATTTTCTCCTCCAAAATTATTTCTATATTCACATCTATTATTTTTGCTTGTTCCCATTAGTTGAATCAATTCTTTTTCTAGCTTTTCGTTTCTCAACTCATCAAATTCTTCATCTTCCCAAGAGCTATCTTTTAATTTTGGTATATGATATACATCATCATCCTCACAATCAACATCCATGGCTGCAAAATTATGATTAGATTCATTAATTTCGTCTCCTACATCTCCCAAATCAATTGATTTTTCCTCCCCTGAAATATATTTTTCTTCATTTCTGTCCTTACTCCCTTCTACTGAAATTTGGATGATTTTTCTATGATCAGTCGCTGTTTCTTCATCTAAGGGTTCTTTCTCCTCATCATCCTCACTATATTCATTCATCAATTGTGAGCAATAAATGATTTTATTCAAATTTTCTGCTACTATATTTTTGCCCTTAATATCCTCATTTACTTCTAATGGATCATCAATTTCTTCTAATAATTGGAAATAAGGATCAGGTAAAATATTCTCACTCAATGTATTCACTGTCCTAACATTTTCATTTCGTGGGTTTTTTTCTAAATTTATCCAGTTAGACTCTTCTTGCTGAAATCTTACTGTTGGACAGTTTTCTGAATTTTCTATGGGCTGACTAGGTAGCTGTCCCTCTTCTCTCTTATTCCCAAGAGCCTCTATAATTTGTTTCTGATGAAGCATCATTTGATTCATAGTTTGTTGCATCATTTGATTCATAGTTTGTTGCATCATTTGGCTCATTTGCTGCATCATTTCCATAGCATCAGGTTGGGTTTGAGAGGGCTGATTTTTCTGAAATCTATTTTCTTGTTTTGGACGAAATTCAGAGTTTGAATTGGGTCTAAGTGCTTCTGGATTTTGAATATTATTTGGGTCTCTCCATGAAAAATTATTCCTCCAATTAGGATTATAAGAATTTGAAAAATGTTCCCTATTTCTATTAAAACCGTGAGCTACTTGCACTTGTTCTTGCATAGGGTGAAATGATTGATCTAAATTATAACATTGAAGTTCAGAATAATCATTTTCACCATACATAGGACATGTACTATTCGAATTAAGTTGAGGGTTAAAAGGCTTTCTAATATTATCAATAAGTAAATCAATTTTTTCTAATCTTTGATTAATCTGATTAACCTCATTTCTAAGTTTAGAATCATCATCATGATGCAATTCATAAATTTCTCTCTTCATTTCCTTGTCATATAATTCAAAAGAGGCTTGATCTCTAGAATTTTCACTTAAATTCTCATAAAGACTGTAAATCTCATCAGGAGTTTTCTCCATAAAAGCTCCTCCACATATAGAATCAACCATATTTCTATGTTGTTCTAATAATCCATCATAAAAAATTCTATTGAGCTGCCACTTGGGTATAGCATGATGAGGACACTTTCTAAGTAAATCTTTGAATTTTTCCCATGTCTGATGCAAAGTTTCTCCTGGTCTTTGAGAAAAACTCCATATATGTTTTCTCATATTTTGAGTTTTTCCTAAAGGATAAAATTTTCGAAGAAAGGCCTGTTCTATATCTTTCCAGCTAGTTAATTCTCTATCTAATGTGGATAGCCAATGACTAGCTTTGTCCCTAAGTGTATGAGGGAATAATTTCATCTTAATAATTTCCGGTGTAACTTGAGGGAGATTAACTAAATCACAGACCATATGAAATTTTTCTAAGTGCTGATGAGGTTCCTCTAAAGGCAATCCATGAAAATTAGGGAGCATTTGAAAAATTCCTGGATTTATTTCGAATTTAACAGTGGGTGCTAATGGGACTCTAATATTAGATGCTCTTTGAAATGAATCAGGGATATAATGATTTTTCATGGCCATAGGATTGTTCTCAGTTTGACCTGTACTTCCTTCAGGATCCATCAAAATTAATTTTTCTTTCGGATTTTTATTTTTGAATGAAATAATGAAAGGATTTTCTAGCCTTGGATGCAAGGATCTTCTACCATGCATAAAAATCAATAAATTCGAGGGAAAAAGTTAGTAACTGTTACCCTCCTTCAGGATGCTCCAGTCCTTGCCGTGCTTCTTTTCGTTCCCTTTTTCTAATAAAAATCAGCAAAAAGAAAATAAAACAAGAGTAAAGTTTTTTTTGTGTACTCTAAGAGAAAAACAGAAAAATACTAAATATTATGCAATACATCCCCGGCAACGGCGCCAAAATTTGACGTGACTCAGTCGTTGTATGTTAAATCACGCAAATATAAAATTTATAAAACTAGAAAATACGAATTTTCGGATATTTAGAAGTATTTCTAAATAAATATATCAATTATAATTCAATAAAAATTCCAAAAATAGCAGTAATTTTCCAGGTCGATCACAGGGATGTAATATAATATCTGGTAATTATTCAGAATTTTTCTCAATGAGTACGATTTTCTTACGAATTTTATACTAGGAAATAAAAAGGAAATATATTTAAAATTCACGAAAAAAAAGGAAATAAGGGTGCGGACGTCAGGATGACGTCAGCGCCCGGCGAACGCGAATCAGGCGGAAACACAGTTCCGCCCGGCGATTCTTACGTAGGCGATTACAGACGACTCAATTAATCAAATTAAGATCTGTAAAAGCCGGAAGAATCGTAGTTGAACGAAGTATAGTTTGGTAAATAAAAATCAACAAAGTATCACTAAATGAAGCGTAAATTAAATTGAAAGCAGGAAAACAGAGTTCCGGCGTCGCGACGGCGATGCGTCGGCGATGCGTCGGCGATGCACCGGAATCCTGAGCGTTCGGGAGGATCGTCGTGCAGTGTCCACGGCCTCGAAGGCTCTCCTTGGATAAAGACGACGTGGGCAATCTCTAGATAAAGCAGGAAAACAGAGTTCCGGCGTCGCGACGGCGACGCGTCGGCGATGCACCGGAATCCTGAGCGTTCGGGAGGGTCGTCGTGCAGTGTCCACGGCCTCGAAGGCTCTCCTTGGACAAAGACGACGTGGGCAATCTCTAGATCTTCTCGCGAAGTCTAGAGACCAATGAAGTGGGTCGTCGAATCGTCTCCGGCGGCTGTCACCCGGCGGAGCGGAAAACCGGCGACTTTGCGGCTCTCCGGCGGCTGTCACCCGACGGAGAGGGGCTGGATGGAGGTGAGGCGCGTGTTAGGGAGCTTCATCCTCAGGTCCGCGCAGCAAGAGGAGGCTCTTCATCGCATCTGGTACGCTCTCAGGAGGTGGCGACTGGTCTCCCGGCGGATCATCCTCTTCCCGACGACGGCTTGTTCGTCGATCAATCGGAGATGATTTACTCGATGGATTGCGATCCTTTTATCGCGAATCGTTCAGAAATTTTAGTAGCAATGCTCCGCGAATCGCGTTGACGAGATTTTCGCCGATGATCCAACGATTCCGGTTGCTTAATCCTTCACCGGCGATCTGCAGGAAAGTCGCGATAATCAGTTAAAAATATATGAATTTTGACTCTGGGAGGATTCGAACCCGCGGCGGTCGCCCGCCCCTGATTAAGGTGTGACGCGGGTTTAGTCCCACATCGGTTGTGCGCGGATTATTGGGCGAATATATAGTAAAGTTAGCTTTCTAGGCAAAGTCCTCTCGCGTGTACGACCACTCCTTGCCCCACAGCCGGCTGACCACCGGTGACGTGGAAGGGGAGTGGCGCACACGTGCCCCTATCGATCCAAGCAAGCCGCTCGAGCCCCTGCTCGTGGCTACTCCCCGACTGCGCTTCCGACCCGCTTGCGGGCCCGGCTGGCCGGCGGGTCCCCCCATTTTGCAATATTTTTATTTTTATTTCTTGTTCTTCATTTATCTCAAAACTAAGACTGTAAAAATCGTATAAAATCACATAATTACCCAAAAATTCACGTTAATCAACTGAAAACCACTTTTCATGCTTTAACACAAATATAAGTCTATTTATCATGAGTTAAGGCTAAAACTATATTATTTACTAATTATTAACTCATGATAATGAAGACTTATCAGGACTCTAATATTAGATGCTCTTTGAAATGAATCAGGGATATAATGATTTTTCATGGCCATAGGATTGTTCTCAGTTTGACCTGTACTTCCTTCAAGATCCATCAAAGTTAATTTTTCTTTCGGATTTTTCTTTTTGAATGAAATAATGAAAGGATTTTCTAGCCTTGGATGCAAGGATCTTCTACCATGCATAAAAATCAATAAATTCGAGCGAAAAAGTTAGTAACTGTTACCCTCCTTCAGGATGCTCCAGTCCTTGCCGTGCTTCTTTTCGTTCCCTTTTTCTAATAAAAATCGACAAAAAGAAAATAAAACAAGAGTAAAGTTTTTTTTTTTGTGTACTCTAAGAGAAAAATAGAAAAATACTAAATATTATGCAATACATCCCCGACAACGGCGCCAAAATTTGACGTGACTCAGTCATTGTTTATTAAATCACGCAAATAGAAAATTTATAAAACTAGAAAATACGAATTTTCAGATATTTAGAAGTATTTCTAAATAAATATATCAATTATAATTCAATGAAAATTCTAAAAATAGCGGTAATTTTCCAGGTCGATCACAAGGATGTAATATAATATCTGGTAATTATTCAGAATTTTTCTCAATGAATAAAATTTTCTTACGAATTTTATACTAGGAAATGAAAAGGAAATATATTTAAAATTCACGAAAAAAAAGGAAATAAGGGTGCGGGCATCAGGATGATGTCAGCACCCGGCGAACACGAATCAGGCGGAAATAGAGTTCCGCCCGGCGATTCTTACGTAAGCGATTACAGACGACTTAATTAATCAAATTAAGATCTGTAAAAGCCGGAAGAATCGTAATTTAACGAAGTATAGTTTGGTAAATTAAAATTACACAAAGTATCACTAAATGAAGTGTAAATTAAATTGAAAGCAGGAAAACAGAGTTCCGGCGTCGTGACGGCGATGCGTCGGTGATGCACCGGAATCCTGAGCGTTCGAGGGGATCGTCGTGCAGTGTCCACGGCCTCGAAGGCTCTCCTTGGACAAAGACGACGTGGGCAATCTCTAGATCTTCTCGCGAAGTCTAGAGATCAATGAAGTGGGTCGTCAAATCGTCTCTGGCGGCTGTCACTCGGCGGAGCGGAAAAACGGTGACTTTGCGGCTCTCCGGCGGCTGTCACCTGACGAAGAGGAGCTGGATGGAGGTGGGGCGCGTGTTAGGGAGCTTCATCCTCAGGTCCGCGCAGCAAGAGGAGACTCTTCATCGCATCTGGTACGCTCTCAGGAGGTGGCGACTGGTCTCCCGCGGATCGTCCTCTTCCCGACGACGGCTTGTTTGTCGATCAATTGGAGATCATTTACTCGATAGATTCGCGATCCTTTTATCGTGAATCGTTCAGCAATTTTAGTAGCAATGCTCCGCAAATTGCGTTGACGAGATTTTTGCCGATGATCCAACGATTCTCGTTTCTTAATCCTTCCCCAGCCATCTGCAAGAAAGTTGCGATAATCAAATAAAAATATATGAATTTTGACTCTGGAAGGATTCGAATCCGCGCCAGTCGCCCACCTCTTTTGAGGAAGGTGTGACGGGGGTTTAGTCCCACATCGGTTGTACGCCGATTTTCCGGGCGAATATATAGTAATGTTAGCTTTGTGAGCAAAGTCCCTTCTCTCGCGTGTATGACCACTCCTTGCCCCACAGCCGGCTAGCCACCGGTGACGTGGAAGGGGAGTGGCGTACGCGTGCTAGTCGGTCCCCAAGCCAAGCCGCTCGAGCCCCTACTCGCAGCTTACTCCCCGACTGCGCTTCTGACCTGCTTGCGGGCACGGCTGGCTGGCAGGTCCCCCCATTTTTGCAATATTTTTATTTTTATTTCTTGTTCTTGATTTATCTTAAAAGTAAGACTGTAAAAATCTTATAAAATCACATAATTAACCAAAAATTCATGTTAATCAATTGAAAACTAAAAATCATTCTTTAACACAAATATAAGTCTATTTATCATGAGTTAAGGCTAAAACTATATTATTTACTAATTATTAACTCATGAGAATGAAGACTTATCACCTCCTCTTGCTGCGTGGACCTGAGGATGAAGCTCTCTAACATGCGCCCCACCTCCATCAAGCTCCTCTCAATCAGGTGACAACCGTTAGAGAGCCACAAAGTCGTCATTTTTCCGTTCCGTCAGGTGACAACTGCCGGAGATGATTTGACAACCCATTTTATTGATCTCTAGACATTGCAAAGAGACTTAGAGACTACTCACGTTGTCTTTGTCTAAAGAAAGCTTTCGAGGCCGTGGACACTACACAATGATCTTTTCGAATGCTCAAGATCAAAAGTTGGTGGGCACCCCTTATTTTGCTATATTTGACGAGATTTAATTTGTGGAGATTAGGCAACAGAATCAAGTTGAGGCACTAACACATGACATCATCAAATGAGGAGATCAGAAGTTGTTAAGAATGTCCACACAATCAACAATGGATCTCAACATTTAAGAAGATCATACTTATTGAGCGATTAGACTCTTGCCTAATATTTTCGTAGCCAAAAAGATAGAAATGCCCTCATTTAATCACAGTTCTACACATGTATTCCCATCCTCTCCTGTAAACCCTTACGCATTTAAGCTGCTATTTAGAGGCAAAAGAACGAACTTTGAATGTCCCGACATTTAGTCGGCTAAATGAAACCATATTGAGGTTTTACATCAATCTTGATGTGTTTGAGTTGATTCAAGCTTTGTTTTGTAGCTAAGATCATTAGGGAAGCGTACTCAAAGTGGAAACTATCTAGCCTTTGTGAAATATAGAGGCCTGAGGTAAGTTCTCCAAGTCCAATATGTTTTGAGTGTGAACAACAATCTAGCTTCTGTAGTTTTGAACATATAGAAATATAGTGTTAACTTTGTCTCACAAATCGTTTGTGAGTGTTTTCCCCATTTTTAGTTGTCATCTACATCGCTGAACCATTGTTTCCCCCTTTTTTGACAGTGAAAATTCTTCTTATTTGTCATCACCTCTCTTTTGAACTCGTTTGATTTAAATAGTAACTAAGTACATCTAATTCTCATTCCTTGTCGATCGACCTCGAGCTTACCACAATATTTACCTATTTTAGTATTTTTATTTGATACATTTGTGATTATAAATATTTTTGATCAACTAATTTTGGGGCTTTCAATGACCCTTGATTTCGTTTTATCAACTGACACCGTTCCTAGGGAATGAGTGCCATTAGACGTGAGTAGCTTTTTAATTGAGTTAAATTCCCATTATTATTTATTTTAAAGAACAAATTTATAGAATATCCAATCATTAATAGGTCTGTTTTCAAAAAATTTCATAATCTATCATTGAGATAGTTATATAAATCTTTACTGAAATAGAAGTTTACAATGTTCATTGTATTTCTTTAAATATTTTGAATTGATTTTTTTATATATAGACTGAATTTGTATTTTTAAATTTGAAGTAGTCAAGGTGAAAGTGTTTGGTATACTTACTTTATTCACTATTTTAATTTCCTGTATTTCTTTCTTTTCTCTTTATCAATACTCACTGAGCCATATTCTATGCAAGGTCACATATCCCTAAAACAACCATTAGCGATCCCTAAACAAGATCAGACCAACACATCTAGCTCATACACTTTTGAAAACCCCATACTATAAGAAAATCAAATGGCCCAACAAAACCCAAACAATGAGACAATGAGGCTGAAAGACCATTTTGTCCCTCTCCAATACCGACCAATATAGGTGAGGGAGTGAATTTTAGAGTAGATCATCATATTGTGCAAATGCTACTAAAGTTTCATGGAATGAGTCATGAGGAATCATACAAGCATTTAGAAGATTTTTTTTCAAGTATGTGAGATTTCTTATTATCCCAATGTCCCACTAGAAGTGCTAAAAATGAGATTATTTCTTTTTACCCTAAAAGACAAAGCAAAAGAGTGGCTCAGAACCCTAGCACAAGACTTAAATTCATGGGGTGAAATGGAGACCACCTTCTTAAAGAAATTTTATTCTGTAGGGAGAATTAATATTGTAAGGAAGTCAGTTAGATATTTTAATCAAGGATCATAGGAATCATTTTATGAGACTTGGGAGAAATGAAAGAATATAGTAGACAATGTTCTCACCATGGGATTCAAATTGGCAGCTAGTTCAAATATTTTATGAAGGATTAGGAGATAAAGATAGACACATGATTGATGCTGCTAGTGGTGGGACATTTATGAATAAATTTGATGATGAAGCCCTAGATTTAATTGAAATGTTGGCTGAAAATAGTACTCATCATATAGTATTAAATCAAAACGGAAGGCAAATAAGGCCTAGAAGAGGTGGAATGATTGAAACAAAAGCTGTTGAATCCGAAATATTTTTAGAAAAAATTGATAAAGTGATGAAAGATGTAAAATTTTTGATGGACAAGTCATCAACAGCTCCTGCTCAAGCTTTTGAACAGTCCATGCATGGCCCAGATATGACTGCATGTACCCTTTGTTCTAGTTATGAACATGTAGAAATAGAGTGTCCTAGAATGAAGGGTTGATGGCAATGAATGATAGAGTCAGGCCCCCTCAACTTATTGCTAGACACTCATGGCCAGAAAGGACATCTCAACCTCCTGTATACAGAACACAATATAACAAATACAACAACTAAAATTATAAAAGAGGAAATGATAACACCTATCAACCATCATTTCCCAAATTTCTAACAGCAAGGTCCCTTCCAGCCAATCCTACGTCCACAAAATTTTCAGTCCACTCAACCAACTCATCCTGCTCAAAACAAAGCCACCTTGGCTACTAATGAATTGTTGAAGCAGATGTTGCAGGAGCAAAAGGAGCAAATGCAAGAGCTGAGGATAGAAATGGAAAAAATGAAGATGATGGTGGGAGGGTAGTCACAACAAGGCTACACCACACACGATAGATAAAAACATAAAATGATTAAAGTAGGGTTAGGTGACCATGAAGTAGGTCAATTTCTTACTCAACCTATTTTAAATCCTCCAAATTTATATTTTTCTACAAATAAACATTATATTCATGAAGTAAAGAGTAAAGAACTTGAGTTAGAAACACTGCACATTATTTAAAGACTTAGGAATGTAAAGAATTTGCCTGATCCATATGAACTAAGTGAAGAAATAGAAGTTGAAAGAAAAATCCAACATAGATAAAACTCAAGAAAAAGTAGAAGAGCTAGCAAAGGATGAACCTAATCCCGAGGGATATAAATTGCTTGTTCCTTAATGCTCTGAAAATATCAAAAAAAAACTCAACCAATCTGATTATCATTTGCTAGAACTGTTCAAACAAGTTATAATAAATATTCCATTAGTTGATGCCATAGAACACATACCATACTATGTTAAATTTTTAAAAGGATTATGTACACCTAGTAGAAAACAAAAATAGATTTAATTATCTGAAAATATTAATTCCATATTACTTAATCACATTCTTAAAAAGTGTAGGGATCTAGGAGCACCCTTGATTAAATGCGAAATAGGAGGTATGATTTCACCTGTTCATTGTTTGATTCAGGTGCAAGTGTCAATATTATTTTCAAAATTATATATGATAAATTCAAAATGGGTGAGTTACAACCTATTTTCTTAGAACTGCAGCTAGCTGATGGGTCAAGTAGATAGTCATATAAACTATTGGAAGATGTCATAGTTAAAATTGCAAACTGTTATTTACAGTAGATTTTATTATTATTTATATGAAGATGACTGAAAATATCAATCATGCTCCTATAATCCTTGGTAGACCCTTCTTAGAAACAGTCAAAGCCATAATAGATTGGGGAAAGAGGATAGTAGAGTTAAAATTTGGGTAAGAAAAGGTTGAAATTAATATTTCTAAGCTATTGAAACATCCTGAAAAATTAACTAAGGATTATTGCTTTGTGGATGCATGTGAAAAATTATTTGATTATAATCTTTTACAAGCTTCAAATGTTTCGTATGAGCTGCACAATGATTCTGAAATTCATGATAATTTGATGCACAATTGTGACCAACAGCTTGAATTAAAAATATGGCCATCCACTCAAATATGATTTTCTTGGTGAAAATAATACTTTTCTTGTCATCATTTCTTCATCATTAACACTAGCACAAGAAGAACAGCTAATGAATATTCTTGAGCTGCATAGAGCAGCAATCGGTTGGTCTCTTGTAGACATTAAGGGCATTAGTGCAAACACATGTATGCACAGAATTTTTATTGAGGAAAATGTCAAAACCTCTAGAGAAGTTCAAAGATGATTGAATCCTAAGATGTTAGAAGTGGTGAAGGGAGAGATTATGAAATGGTTGGATGCAGGAATTATATATGCCATTTTAGATAGGCCATGGGTAAGCTCTATCCATGTAGTACCCAAGAAGACAGGAATCATGGTGACTAGAAATGAAAAAGGAGAGGAGATTCAAACTAAATTACCATCAAGTTCAAGAATTTACATAGATTATAGGAAGTTAAATGCTGTAATGAAAAAATATCATTTTACTTTACCTTTAATTAATCAAATTCTAGAAAAATTAGCTGGTAAATATATTTTTTATTTCTGGAAAAATTAGTTGGTAAAAATTAGCTATACATCAGGATGATCAAGAAAAGACCACTTTTACATCTTTTTTGGCACATGCATTTAGGAGAATGCCCTTCGGTTTATGTAATGCACCATCTATATTTCAGCGATGCATGCCTACTATGTTTTCAAACTTAGTTGGTGAATGTTTAGAAGTTTTTTAATTTTTGTCAATCATTTGAGTGCTGTCTTGCTGACTTAGCAAAGGTTTCACAATTGTGCATGGACAAGAACCTAGTGCTAAGTTAGGAGAAATCCTATTTCATGGTGCAAGAGGGAGTGGTGCTGGGCCATCTAGTTAGCAAATGTGGATTAGAGGTGGACAAGGCCAAGATAGAAGTGATCCAAAATCTCCCCCTCCCCAACTCCATTAGACAACTGAGAGCTTTTTTGGGTCATGCTGATTTTTATAGATGTTTTATTAAAGACTTTGATAAAGTTTCTAAACCTTTTACTAACTTACTTTCTAAAGATGTTAATTTTGAAATAAATGCTGCAGGCCAACAAGCTTTTTTATAGATTAAGAGGGCAATTTTTATAGAGGCTCTAATTTTTCAACCACCCAACTAGAGCCTCCCTTTTGAACTAATGTGTGATGCCTCAGATTTTGTAGTAAGAGTAGTGCTAGGTCAACGAATTGACAAGAAATCCAAAGCAATTTATTATGCAAGTAAGACGTTGGTCAAAGCTCAAGTAAATTACACTAGTACAGAAAAAGAATTATTAGTTATTGTTTTTGCATTAGATAAATTTTGATCTTATTTGTTAAGTAGCAAAATTATCATATATTCTGATCATTTTGTCCTTAAATATTTGCTTAGTAAGAATGCAGCAAAACCTTGATTCATTAGGTGGGTTTTATTATTATAAGAATTTGATGTTGAAATTAAAGATAGATGAGGATGTGAAAATTGTCTAGCTGACCACTTATCTCGATTAGATATACACAATTCAAGGAAGAACCTGAATTGTTTCATTTAGGAGTTGACCAGATTTTTAGACAATGTGTCCTTGAAGATGAACAACATAGCATATTAAATTTTTTCATTCTTTTTCTTGTGGTGGACATTTTGTATCTAAGAGAACTACTACAAAAAATTTACAATGTGGTTTTTTTGGCCTACTACATTTAAGAATTCATACGATTCTTGTAAAACTTGTTTGAAGTGTCAAGCTGCAATCAACATAACTAAGAAAGACTCCATGCCATTACAACCAATTATTGAAGTTGAAAATTTTGATTTGTGGGGCATAGATTTTGTGGGACCATTTCCCTCATCTAATGGTCATGAATACATTTTAATGGTTGTTGATTATGTTTCTAAGTGGATAGAGGCTATCTCTACTAGAACAAATGATCATAAGGTAGTCCAATCAATTGTGCATCATATCTTTTCACGTTTTGGTTGTCCAAGAGCCATAATTAGTGATGGTGGATCACATTTCAATAACTATCATTTCAATGCCTTAAGAAATATGGTGTGCAGCATAAGATGATCACACCCTATCACCCACAAGTCAATAGTCAAATTGAAGTCACAAGTAAAGAAACTAATTTTTTTTACAGAAATTCGTTAGACCTGATGATAAAAATTAGATAAATAGACTTCATGATGCATTATGGGCATAGAGAACAGCCCATAAAAACCCTATAGGAATGTCTCCATATAAACTGATTTTTGGTAAAGCTTGTCACTTACCCGTTGAAATTGAACATAGGGTTTGTTGGACTCTCAAGAAACTAAATTTATCTCTAGATAAAGTAGGGAAGAATAGGATTCTACAAATTCAAGATCTACAAGAATTACAAAACGAAGCTTATGAAAATTCTGTGATTTAACTTCATGATAGACATTTGAATCATAAGTAATTTTTTGAAAATAAAAAAGTTTGGCTATACAAGTCACGCTTGAAGTTATTTCAAGAAAACTTAAATCAAGGTGGGATACATCTTTCATTGTTATTAAATTATTTGATTGTGGAGCAGTTTTAAATGCAAATCTTAAGACAAGTCAATAGCTTAAAGTGAACAAGCAAAGACTTAAACCATACATGCAGCATGAGCAACACCCTTTGGACAACTCTCTTTAACTGTAGGATCTACGTCCATCTCAAATCTCCTATTGACAACATCCTAGTCATTAAATTTACAATTTTGAGAATTTAATATAATCACCTTTTTATTCAGTGGCTTTTTTTCTTTTCAATCTTCTTTTGTGGTTATCTTTTAATTCAGATGGAGTACGTAGGTGGGTTTAGTACATGACCATGGCAATAGTGTAACACATACACAGCAGCAACAAATACAACAGGGACTACATTACTTAGTTTGCACCTTCTTCCTCTAAATTTATTTTTCTAATGCACTAGGGATAATGCAGAATTTAAGTTGGGGGGTGAGAAGATTAAGTTCCTGTAGTATACACTTAGAATATTATGAACTCACACATTTTTGAATTTATCTTATAGTTGTAATATAGAAAGACAATAAAAATAGCATAAATTAGATTGTCATATTGTTCGATCCCCATACTCACAAACTTGCTTTCATTGATGAATCTTAAAAAAAGAGATCAATGTCAATAGTATTTTGGATATTCATGAACATAAGTTTGTAGTAAGTAGGTTTAATTATTATTTTTTTATTCAAAATACTTCTATTATTGTCATAGAATTAGTTCAAGCTACTTGGTTTTCTTGCTAAGAATATTGTATGATTTAGATGATGAATTGAAGGAAGATCACTCAACACTTTTATGCTCATATAGAATTTAGCAGAGTGTGAGCCAGCCTCCAAAGTATGAATATTGACATTCAAACTTTCAACAAATATTTGGAGAAAAGTTATTTGTCAAAAAAAAAATATATTTTTTTGTGTAAAGTGAAGCCTAAATGCAAATAAAAGAGGAATTTTTCCTCTTTGTCCTGTGGGGCTACCACATGTGAGACTAGGACAAGTATTACTTTATTTTGGAAAAGTTACCAACACAACACATGAGTCATATTCAATAAGTTACAATGGTCTGAGTTAAACTCAAATTCTAAAATCTATTGGTGATATTTGGCTAGTAATGAGAGTAGATGAATTAATAACTAGACAATTCAGTTGTTGAGATTGAAAAAAAAAATGAACTAACCTAAACTCTACTTGATTGTGATTCATGAATGTCTTTACATGAGCAGGTGAAACTCTCAAATGAAGATTTGTGAAATGATAGGCAAGTTAGTTAATGTGTGGGGTGAATGTCAATATGCGTTTTTATTAAATTACCATGTAGGAACTTGAAATATTTTCTTCCTAAGAGTCTAGCAACAACTTAAGTTGGGGGATTGAAATGTGAGAAAAGAGTCTCTAGAATTTCAAATTTTGAGCTGTTTTTGATAGTCTATTGTTCCTAACAGAAAACCAGAAAATAAGTGTTGTATTTTTTCTAATTTTTTTTAAATTTCTATTCTAAGTGAGTGTGAAAAAAATGCAAACACATGTTCTTAATCATCCTACAGCATAAATTAAGAATTAATACTTCACCCCCCAACTTAAAAATGACATTGTCCTCAATGACATAAAAAAATCAAAATAGAATATGCAAAAAATATAATTTTCAAGTGAACAATACATATTCATGCAAAATTAAGCACTAAAAATGTTCTCAGAAATGATAAAGCTCAAAAAGACACCACCTCAACTTTGTTTTTAATTTTTTACTTCATCTTACACCTCCTCCTGCACTTTTTTGAAAAAAAAAAACTAATGTAAAAATAAATACTACGAAATTCTTAGAAAAACAGAACTTAAAAAAAGTCAAATAAAATAAAATAAAAACCATGGGTTGCCTCCCATACAGCGCTGAATTTAATGTCTTTAGCTAGACAATTCTTAGATCATATATGATGATATATGGCCATCAAATATATTTATATCCTAAGATAAGTTTCATGATATTCCTTTTCCGATTTAGCAAAACATTTTCTTAAAAATAATATTTCCATTTTGAAAAGAACCTTTTCTCATTTTTATCTTATTTTGTAATGCTCTCATTCATTAATAAATATTTTCTATTAATAGGCGATAAAATGTGATCAAGTCATATAATTTTCAAATTAGCTCTTACCCATCTAGATTTTTTTCATCTAAATTGATATCTCTAATTCTTTCACTCACCTATTTCTTAATGTATTCTTTTATCTGCAGAATCTTCCCCTACTCCATTTTATTTTTCATACATATTTATTCAATTTGTGAGGAG